GTTCTCTCTTCTACTCAGCGACTCCTCCTTGTGTTATTAGCATCTCTGTCTCCAAACCCCAAGCCGCCACTGTACCCACATCTCACCGCTAACTTCCAGCCTGTGCGCCACTCCCATGATGAACAAAAACTGTAGTCTATATAAATTGCACTGTTTCACTCTGGTGTTAGCTTGAGAAAGATCCCTTGTGGGATCGAAACGTTGTACTTTGTTCCAATAAACTTGCTGAACTGATCCTTGAGTGCCTGGACTACAATTTCTGTTCAACTATTACAGAAGGGGTAGCCACCCCTAGGTCTGGTTGCACCAGGATTGTAATACGTGTGCGGTATTCCTCTCTCTTTGTGCTCCACTCCCAGTCTCAAGATCCACCTAACTCACATTTAGGCATAGAGTCATTCTGGAGAAGCAGATATCGTTCTAGAACATCGGGATAATTCTGGAGAAGCAGATATCAGGCTAGAAGAGTGGGGCAATTCTGGAGACGCAGACATCAGTCTAGAAGAGCGGGGTAATTCTGGAGACACAGATATCAGTCTATAAGAGCGGGGTAATTCTGGAGACACAGATATCAGTCTAGAAGAGCGGGATTGTTCTGGAGAAGCAGAGATCGGTCTAGAAGAGCGGGGTAATTCTGGAGATGCAGATGTCAGTCTAGAAGAGCGGGGTAATTCTGGAGATGCAGATGTCAGTCTAGAAGAGCATGTGGTATCTCACTAAAGTGGGGTAATGTGCCCTTGGTGCATGATCCTACCTGCAGGGCGACTGGTTAGACAGCATTGTGATGGAAAACTTGTGAGAACTAATTATGACGCATTTAATTACTGCACAGAGAGAATGTTTGTATCTGTGTGACTGTTTAAGCAGCCGGTCTTCCCCACATTCACTCTGTCTGTATGTCTCTTTCTGGAAGTCTCTGAGTTACCAAATATAACCATAACAAATTGACCTGTCCTAGAGGTGTCCGACTGTGTATTACGCTCAGTCCTAGAGGTGTCCGGCTGTGTATTACGCTCAGTCCTAGAGGTGTCAGACTGTGTATTACACTCAGTCCTAGAGGTGTAAGACTGTGTATTACGCTCAGTCCTAGAGGTGTCAGACTGTGTATTACGCTCAGTCCTAGAGGTGTCAGACTGTGTATTACGCTCAGTCCTAGAGGTGTCAGACTGTGTATTACACTCAGTCCTAGAGGTGTCAGACTGTGTATTACACTCAGTCCTAGAGGTGTCAAGCTGTGTATTACACTCAGTCCTAGAGGTGTCCGGCTGTGTATTACGCTCAGTCCTAGAGGTGTCCGGCTGTGTATTACGCTCAGTCCTAGAGGTGTCCAGCTGTGTATTACGCTCAGTCCTAGAGGTGTCCGGCTGTGTATTACACTCAGTCCTAGAGGTGTCAGACTGTGTATTACACTCAGTCCTAGAGGTGTAAGACTGTGTATTACGCTCAGTCCTAGAGGTGTCAGACTGTGTATTACACTCAGTCCTAGAGGTGTCAAGCTGTGTATTACACTCAGTCCTAGAGGTGTCAGGCTGTGAAGCCCAGACTAGTGACGTGAATAACTGCAGGCGAGTTAAACCAGAAGAACAAGTGAAACATTGTGACACACACAGCTATCTACCACACACTGTAACAGACACAGCTATCTGTCACTGTAACACACAGGGCTATCTACCACACACTGTAACAGACACAGCTATCTGTCACTGTAACACACAGGGCTATCTACACTGTAGCACACAGGGCTATCTGTCTCTGTAACAAACAGGGCTATCACTGTAACACATAGGGCTATCTGTCTGTAACACACAGGGCTATCACTGTAACACATAGGGCTATCACTGTAACACATAGGGCTATCTGTCTGTAACACACAGGGCTATCTGTCTCTGTAACACATAGGGCTATCACTGTAACACATAGGGCTATCTGTCTGTAACACATAGGGCTATCACTGTAACACATAGGGCTATCTGTCTGTAACACACAGGGCTATCACTGTAACACATAGGGCTATCTGTCTGTAACACACAGGGCTATCTGTCACTGTAACACATAGGGCTATCTGTCTGTAACACACAGGGCTATCTGTCTCTGTAACACATAGGGCTATCACTGTAACACATAGGGCTGTCTGTAACACACAGGGCTATCTGTCACTGTAACACATAGGGCTATCTGTCTGTAACACACAGGGCTATGTGACATTATGATACACAGGACTATCTGTCTCTGTAACACACAGGGCTATCTGATACTGTAACACACAGGGCTATCTGACATTGTGACACACCGGGCTATCTGTCACTGTAACACACAGGTCTGTCTCTGTAACACACAGGGCTATCTGACACTGTAACACATAGGGCTATCTGTCTGTAACACACAGGGCTATCTGTCTCTGTAACACATAGGGCTATGTGACATTATGATACACAGGACTATCTGTCTCTGTAACACATAGGGCTATCTGTCTGTAACACACAGGGCTATCTGTCTGTAACACACAGGGCTATCTGTCACTGTAACAGATAGGGCTATCTGTCTGTAACACACAGGGCTATCTGTCTCTGTAACACACAGGGCTATGTGACATTATGATACACAGGACTATCTGTCTCTGTAACACACAGGGCTATCTGACACTGTAACACACAGGGCTATCTGACATTGTGACACACCGGGCTATCTGTCACTGTAACACACAGGTCTGTCTCTGTAACACACAGGGCTATCTGACACTGTAACACACAGGGCTAACTGTCTCTGTAACACACAGGGCTATGTGACATTATGATACACAGGACTATCTGTCTCTGTAACACACAGGGCTATCTGACATTGTGACACACAGGGCTGTCACTGTAACACACAGGACTATCTGTCTCTGTAACACACAGGGCTATCTGACATTGTGACACACATGGCTATCTGACACTAACACAGGGCTGTCACTGTGACACACATGGCTATCAGTCACTGTGACACACAGGACTGTCACTGTAACACACAGGGCTATCTGACATTGTGACACACAGGGCTATCTGTCACTGTAACACACAGGGCTATCTGACACTGTGACACACAGGGCTATCTGACACTGTGACACACAGGGCTATCTGTCACTGAGACACGCAGGGCTATCTGACATTGTGACACACAGGGCTATCTGTCACTGTAACACACAGGGCTATCTGACATTGTGACACACAGGGCTATCTGTCACTGTGACACACAGGGCTATCTGTCACTGTGACACACAGGGCTATCTGTCACTGTGACACACAGGGCTATCTGTCACTGTGACACACAGGGCTATCTGTCACTGTAACACACAGGGCTATCTGTCACTGTAACACACAGGGCTATCTGTCTCTGTAACACACAGGGCTATCTGACATTGTGACACACAGGACTATCTGTCACTGTAACACACAGGGCTGTCACTGTGACACACAGGGCTATCTGACATTGTGACACACAGGGCTATCTGTCACTGAGACACACAGGGCTATCTGACATTGTGACACACACAGCTACCTGTCACTGTAACACACATGGCTATCTGTCACTGAAACACACAGGGCTATCTGACATTGTGACACACAGGGCTATCTGTCACTGAAACACACAGGGCTATCTGACATTGTGACACACAGGGCTATCTGTCACTGAAACACACAGGGCTGTCACTGAAACACACAGGGCTGTCACTGAAACACACAGGGCTATCTGACATTGTGACACACAGGGCTATCTGTCACTGTAACACACAGGGCTATCTGACATTGTGACACACAGGGCTATCTGTCACTGAAACACACAGGGCTATCTGACATTGTGACACACAGGGCTAGCTGTCACTGTAACACTATGTGACATTGTGAGGCTTCTCACCTGCTCAGTACAAATCCCTCATTATCCGGAGTCCAGGTGACTGCAGAGCTAAGTGTCCCCTCTCCCTCTCTCTAACCTGGAAACATACATAGGACAGGTGTGGCTCTAATGGGAGGGGCCCACAGTACCTTGCTTCCTTACTGTACAGAGCCTAGCAGGAAAAACAACTCACTGCATGGCTACCTGACAATGCATGGCTACCTCCTCATACTGCATGGCTACCTGAAACAACTGCATGGCTAGTAGCTGTCACTGCATGGCTACCTACTCACACTGCATGTCTAGCTGACAATGCATGGTTACCTGCTCACACTGCATGGCTAGCTGACAATGCATGGTTACCTGCTCACACTGCATGGCTAGCTGACAATGCATGGTTACCTGCTCACACTGCATGGCTAGCTGACAATGCATGGCTACCTGCTCACATTGGATGGCTAGCTGACAATGCATGGCTACCTGCTCACATTGGATGGCTAGCTGACAATGCATGGCTACCTGCTCACATTGGATGGCTAGCTGACAATGCATGGCTACCTGCTCACACTGCATGGCTAGCTGACAATGCATGGCTACCTGCTCACACTGCATGGCTACCTGCTCACATTGGATGGCTAGCTGACAATGCATGGCTACCTGCTCACATTGGATGGCTACCTGCTCACACTGCATGGCTAGCTGCTGTCTTAATATAAGGGAAATAGGCTTTACAGTGAAAATGACACGTTTGGAGGAGAGAAAGTGAAGCGAGCTAGTGAGATGAGGGACCAAGAGGGAGGAAAAGCCAGTTTAATTGATACGCGTTTGAACTTTCAATGATTTTTGAATGAGTGCAGATTGGGTGAAAGTCTAACGGAGAAGGGAAGGGAGTTCCACAGAAACGGTGCAGCCCTGGAGAAGTCTTGAAGGTGAGCATCAGAGGTGGGAGTACGGACAGAGGATAGAAGTAGGTCTTCGTCAGAGTGCAGGGGCCTAGGTGGGACATACCGTGTATTAGGGAGGATAGGTAGGTGGGAGCGGCATTATGTAGGGACTTGTAAGCAAGAACCAGCATCTTAAATTGAGACCCGCACCTTATGGGAAGTGTAAGGACTGACAGAGGGAGGCCTGGGAGGACGGGAAGATGAGTCTGGCTGTGGAATGCGATGTAGACTGTGGCTGGGGGTGTGTAAGGACTGACAGAGGGAGGCCTGGGAGGACGGGAAGATGAGTCTGGCTGTGGAATGCGATGTAGACTGTGGCTGGGAGTGTGTAAGGACTGACAGTGGGAGGCCTGGGAGGACGGGAAGATGAGTCTGGCTGTGGAATGCGATGTAGACTGTGGCTGGGAGTGTGTAAGGACTGACAGAGGGAGGCCTGGGAGGACGGGAAGATGAGTCTGGCTGTGGAATGCGATATAGACTGTGGCTGGGAGTGTGTAAGGACTGACAGAGGGAGGCCTGGGAGGACAGGAAGATGAGTCTGGCTGTGGAATGCGATGTAGACTGTGGCTGGGAGTGTGTAAGGACTGACAGAGGGAGGCCTGGGAGGACGGGAAGATGAGTCTGGCTGTGAAATGCGATGTAGACTGTGGCTGGGAGTGTGTAAGGACTGACAGAGGGAGGCCTGGGAGGACGGGAAGATGAGTCTGGCTGTGAAATGCGATGTAGACTGTGGCTGGGAGTGTGTAAGGACTGACAGAGGGAGGCCTGGTAGGACGGGAAGATGAGTCTGGCTGTGGAATGCGATGTAGACTGTGGCTGGGAGTGTGTAAGGACTGACAGAGGGAGGCCTGGCTGGAATGCTAAGGGTGACTGTGGCTGGGAGGTGTAAGTGACTGACAGAGGGAGGCTCAGGAAGAGGAGTCTGGCTGTGGAATGAGCATAGACTGTGGCTGGGAGTGTGTGTGGGCAAGGCCTGACAGAGGGAGGCCTGGGAGGGATCGAAGATGAGTCTGGCTGTGGAATGCGATATAGACTGTGGCTGGGAGTGTGTAAGGTCTGACAGAGGGAGGCCTGGGAGGACGGGAAGATGAGTCTGGCTGTGGAATGCGATGTAGACTGTGGCTGGGAGTGTGTAAGGACTGACAGAGGGAGGCCTGGGAGGACAGGGAGATGAGTCTGGCTGTGGAATGCGATGTAGACTGTGGCTGGGAGTGTGTAAGGACTGACAGAGGGAGGCCTGGGAGGACAGGAAGATGAGTCTGGCTGTGGAATGCGATATAGACTGTGGCTGGGAGTGTGTAAGGACTGACAGAGGGAGGCCTGGCAGGACGGGAAGATGAGTCTGGCTGTGGAATGCGATATAGACTGTGGCTGGGAGTGTGTAAGGACTGACAGAGGGGAGGTCAGGAGGACGGGAAGACAGAGTCTGGCTGAATGCGACATAGACTGTGGCTGGGAGGTAAGGGACTGACAGGAGGGAGGCCTGGGAGGACGGGAAGAGAGCTCTGGCTGTGGAATGCCATGTAGACTGTGGCTGGGAGTGTGTAAGGTCTGACAGAGGGGAGGCCTGGGAGGACGGAAGATGAGTCTGGCTGTGAATGCTGGCAGACTCTGGCCGGGGAGTGTGTAAGGACTGACAGAGGGAGGCCTGGCAGGACGGGAAGATGAGTCTGGCTGTGGAATGCGATATAGACTGTGGCTGGGAGTGTGTAAGGACTGACAGAGGGAGGCCTGGGAAGACGGGAAGATGAGTCTGGCTGTGGAATGCGATGTAGACTCTGGCTGGGAGTGTGTAAGGACTGACAGAGGGAGGCCTGGGAGGACGGGAAGATGAGTCTGGCTGTGGAATGCGATGTAGACTGTGGCTGGGAGTGTGTAAGGTCTGACAGAGGGAGGCCTGGGAAGACGGGAAGATGAGTCTGGCTGTGGAATGCGATGTAGACTCTGGCTGGGAGTGTGTAAGGACTGACAGAGGGAGGCCTGGGAGGACGGGAAGATGAGTCTGGCTGTAGAATGCGATGTAGACTGTGGCTGGGAGTGTGTAAGGACTGACAGAGGATGGCCTGGGAGGACGGGGAGATGAGTCTGGCTGTGGAATGCGATGTAGACTGTGGCTGGGAGTGTGTAAGGACTGACAGAGGGAGGCCTGGGAGGACGGGAAGAGGAGTCTGGCTGTGGAATGCGATGTAGACTGTGGCTGGGAGTGTGTAAGGACTGACAGAGGGAGGCCTGGAAGATGAGTCTGGCTGTGGAATGCGATGTAGACTGTGGCTGGGAGTGTGTAAGGTTTGACAGAGGGAGGCCTGGGAGGACGGGAAGATGAGTCTGGCTGTGGAATGCGATGTAGACTGTGGCTGGGAGTGTGTAAGGACTGACAGAGGGAGGCCTGGGAGGACGGGAAGATGAGTCTGGCTGTGGAATGCGATGTAGACTGTGGCTGGGAGTGTGTAAGGACTGACAGAGGGAGGCCTGGGAGGACGGGAAGATGAGTCTGGCTGTGGAATGCGATATAGACTGTGGCTGGGAGTGTGTAAGACCAGTAAGACGCGGCTTTGGACTTTATCTGCATCCACTGTTAGGCAGAGGAGGATGCGAGCTATGTTTTTAAGATGGAAGTCAAAGGATTTGGGGATATCAATGGGAAAAGCTATGAAAAGGTAGAAAAAAAAATAGCCTAGAAAAACATTCAGATTTTCCCAAAAAGAATTATAAATATTAGAATATGAAAATCTTAAATACTGAAAGGAAATGAAGTTAGAAGAATGTCAGGATTTTGTTGAGAGGTGTGTGTGCATGTGAATTCGTTCTTACAATGGACAATACAAAGACAGATATTTGATGAGTAAAATGATTGTGTAAATCTTCAGTGAATGCCATTGTCCGATCCATCAGCTGGGCCCGCTAAACCTGTCATTGTAAAGTCTGTGAATGATTGAGAATTGCATTAAATCGTCTCTATTGAGCGTTTTCCCAGCTGCGACACTAAGTAATATGATACTGTAACACTGTGCGGGTTATAAACGATAATTAAATAACTAATGGTATTATATTACCTCCAAGATCATTTTATTGTACAGACATAATAAGCAAAAATTAGTATAGCCTTAATATTAAACAAAGCCTTTATAGGTTCTAATGTACTTCTCGGTATATCTAGATATAATACTCACAGTGCATTATGGGTAATATCTGGATATAACACTCACAGTGTATTATGGGTAATATCTAGATATAACACTCAGTGCATTATGGGTAATATCTAGATATAACTCACAGTGCATTATGGGTAATATCTAGATATAACACTCACAGTGCATTAAGGGTAATATCTAGATATAACTCTCACAGTGCATTATGGGTAATATCTGGATATAACACTCACAGTGCATTATGGGTAATATCTAGATATAACTCACAGTGCAGTATGGGTAATATCTAGATATAACTCACAGTGCATTATGGGTAATATCTAGATATAACTCACAGTGCATTATGGGTAATATCTAGATATAACACTCACAGTGCACTATGGGTAATATCTAGATATAACACTCACAGTGCACTATGGGTAATATCTAGATATAGCTCTCACAGTGCATTATGGGTAATATCTGGATATAACACTCACAGTGCATTATGGGTAATATCTAGATATAACTCACAGTGCATTATGGGTAATATCTAGATATAACACTCACAGTGCATTATGGGTAATATCTGGATATAACACTCACAGTGCATTATGGGTAATATCTAGATATAACACTCACAGTGCATTATGGGTAATATCTAGATATAACACTCACAGTGCATTATGGGTAATATCTAGATATAACTCTCACAGTGCATTATGGGTAATATCTGGATATAACACTCAGTGCATTATGGGTAATATCTGGATATAACACTCACAGTGCATTATGGGTAATATCTAGATATAACTCACAGTGCACTATGGGTAATATCTAGATATAACTCACAGTGCACTATGGGTAATATCTAGATATAACTCTCACATTGCATTATGGGTAATATCTGAATATAACTCTCACAGTGCATTATGGGTAATATCTGGATATAACTCTCACAGTGCACTATGGGTAATATCTAGATATAACTCTCACAGTGTATTATGGGTAATATCTAGATATAACACTCACAGTGCATTATGGGTAATATCTAGATATAACTCTCACAGTGCATTATGGGTAATATCTGGATATAACACTCAGTGCATTATGGGTAATATCTGGATATAACACTCACAGTGCATTATGGGTAATATCTAGATATAACTCACAGTGCACTATGGGTAATATCTAGATATAACTCACAGTGCACTATGGGTAATATCTAGATATAACTCTCACATTGCATTATGGGTAATATCTGAATATAACTCTCACAGTGCATTATGGGTAATATCTAGATATAACTCTCACAGTGCACTATGGGTAATATCTAGATATAACTCTCACAGTGTATTATGGGTAATATCTGGATATAACTCTCACAGTGCACTATGGGTAATATCTAGATATAACACTCACAGTGCACTATGGGTAATATCTAGATATAACTCTCAGTGCATTATGGGTAATATCTGGATATACTCAGTGCATTATGGGTAATATCTAGATATAACACTCACAGTGCATTATGGGTAATATCTAGATATAACTCACAGTGCACTATGGGTAATATCTAGATATAACTCACAGTGCACTATGGGTAATATCTAGATATAACTCTCACATTGCATTATGGGTAATATCTGAATATAACTCTCACAGTGCATTATGGGTAATATCTAGATATAACTCTCACAGTGCACTATGGGTAATATCTAGATATAACTCTCACAGTGTATTATGGGTAATATCTGGATATAACTCTCACAGTGCATTATGGGTAATATCTAGATATAACACTCACAGTGCACTATGGGTAATATCTAGATATAACACTCAGTGCATTATGGGTAATATCTAGATATAGCTCTCACAGTGCATTATGGGTAATATCTAGATATAACACTCACAGTGCACTATGGGTAATATCTAGATATAACTCTCACAGTGCACTATGGGTAATATCTAGATATAACACTCAGTGCATTATGGGTAATATCTAGATATAACTCTCACAGTGTATTATGGGTAATATCTGGATATAACTCTCACAGTGCACTATGGGTAATATCTAGATATAACACTCAGTGCATTATGGGTAATATCTAGATATAGCTCTCACAGTGCACTATGGGTAATATCTGGATATAACGACCACAGTGCACTATGGGTAATATCTGGATATAACGACCACAGTGCATTATGCAGAGACTAGGGCGCAAAAACTTTGTAAATCTAAAATGTTTTAAAAGAATTATTCCCATTTGTAGGGGGAGATTTCAGCCCTTTATTTGGTTATTAAAGGGAACGTTATCCAAATAAAAAAATTATTTCCTTTCTTTCTTTTCTCTTCGGAACTCTCCGACCTTCTGACCATTCTCTGTCTTGAGATGGGTCAAGGGCTCTTGAAAGGCCAACGTGTTTCCCACCTTCTTTCTTTTCCATAAAAATGAAAACATTTTGTATTACTGACTTTCTCCACTTCTGTATCCTCCAGAGGTTTAAACCTATTTTTGGTAATGAACTCGAATTTGTGAGCTCCCCTTATATTCTCTCTTCTATTACTTTGAGCAGTGTAGATATACTCTTTTACGTCAACTTTCTGTTTGGGATGAAATGTTTTATTAATAACTTCTCTCCACTCTCCCCCTGCATTGTTAGCGACTTTATAATTAATATGCCTCACCACTTCACAGTATTAAGGAGCACAACAATTCTCCTGCTATTTTACCCTCTTGATTCCTCCTGTGGGGGTGGGGAGAACCTTTCCTTCAATGATTGGTTTGTTTAGGTCCGTTTACTATCAGTATAGATCCCTCAGTTCTTGTTTTGATGTTTCTTTCTAAAACGTATCACTTTATCATCATTTCCTTCTGGGTCACATTGCAGTTTTTGGTTTGACTCCCTCGATTACACATTCCTGGTCTTCCACTATAAGGTTACTCCCAGAGTCCTGAAGACTTTAAGAGAGAGACCAGATCAAACAGAGCCCAACGTAGAAGGTTTTCAGGCACCCAGCACAACAGAGAGCAAGTGTTGGTGTGTGGGCCGTGCCCCTCCGGTATCAGTGCCCAGTTCTGTCATTACTTGTGTTTTAACAGCCCTGGTCACGTGTCTTGCACGGCCTTCCTGGACACTTCCTGTTGGGGGTGGTTTGATGTTTGCGCTTCCTTTGTTGCTAATTCTGTTTGATTCGAAATTTCCAAGAATAAATGTTAGATACATTGTTAGCATTTCTGTAGATCATCTTTTCATGCTGTGGAATGTTAAGAATAAGAACAATATATATAGTGCTATAAAAGTTGCCACTGAGAACTCTGTATTTGTCCAGATACCTTTTTCAAGCGTTTCCATGTATCTCTGTTGGTAGTTGTAATTGGTGTATCCATTGCCAAATGCGCTGCTTTAGAGAAGGTCAGTGTACAGATTATTGCCTAAACTTTGTCATTTTGGTTTTCAATTCAATCTGCTTTAGTGAAGAACTCCTAAGACATTCCTCTGATATTTACGATGTCCAAAAATAAAGGGACTTGGGGGCGCACTCGGAACATGCACGTTTCATCAGTGGTGCTGTCGTCAAGCCCAAACTTTATACAATGTATTTATATATTTTTTGTAGAAATTTATGGTGCCCACTTACAGCTTTATACTAAAGTTCTATAAAATTGGCCAGATAAAAGTTTTCAGAACTATGCATGTGTTTCTTTGTGCCCATATGAAGTACCAGAATTGGGTCAAGGTCTCCAAGTTAGCCAGCACCACTCTCAAAGGGACACTAAGACACCTAAAGCACTTAGCTTGCTGAAATGCTTTGTGTGAAAAGTGGGTTGTGTTTTTTTCAATTTTTTTTTTTTTTTTCAAAGAGTGAAAAAAAGAAAATCTATTTTTTTCCCTTTTTCTTTTCTATTAAATCTAATTATATCTCATCCAGTTGTTTTTTTCCCCAATCATTTTCATAAGGTCTTTACATTCCTGCAACTCTAAGAAATGGCTTGAAAATTCTTTCAAATTACTGATTTCCTCATCAAGAGCTGTTAGCATCCTTCTTCTTTAGGTATGACATGGCTAAGAAGATCAAAAAGAACGATGATCCAAGATCCTATCCCACATCACATTGAATTCCTGATCATCCTTATCTTCTCCATAGTTGAGAAATAATTGTTAGCCTTTGGGTATAATTCTACTATTCCAAAATCTTCCAGTGTGGCAATTTCTAATTTACTTTCCATTTCTTTAGTAATTATTTTTTTTACAAAGTAAAAGCATTTTCCTTCAGTGATCTTGTTTAACTGGATAGCAGACTTTTCATTCTCCGCTAAATTTAGATCAAACTTGTATTGGTTTATTTTTGAACATATTAAAATCACAATTAAACTACACAGGAACGTAAAGCATTTAAGAGTGTAATGGATAGTAAAGACATTGTTATACAACTGGCGGATAAGGGGCGAAAGGGGGTTAAGTTATAATGAGCAAAATATTTTATGAAACTGAAGCTTTAAGATTTTTAAGAGATAGCAGTACATACAAATTTTAAATAAGGACCTACCCCTATCATTAAGAAGAAATGTGTGTGGTTTTTAGATAAAGGGAGGATTTTAGGAAGTCTAAACAAAAGAGAATGTAATTCTATTAACAAGTCCTATTTTGGTAACCTCCCCATGTAGGCCTATTATAACTGGTGTCGATATCCTACATGTCTACCCTATATATTCCCTCTGATTTACAAGTGGAGCAAACTGAATTCATTTTCTTTTGCATTACTTTTATTCATACTATAATTTTTTTCTGGTATGATGAGGAAATGTATCTAGAAGTAAGTGGCACAACTATGGGGACCATGTTTGCACCCAGCTATGCCAATATGTTCCGATCTAATTTGGAAGATATCTCTATGTGGAATAGGAATGCTGGGTGTTCAAACCTGATCCTCTATAAGAGATACATTGAAGAGGATTTTGTGTGTTTAAAAGGAACCAGAGAACAAACTTATTTAATTTTTAATGTATATCAATGACAATCATGTAAAGTATATGTAAATAATTTAATTAGCTTGGACAGTTGCCATTACCCCCCTTGGTTAACTAATGTTCCTTATGGTCAATTAAAATTAATTAGAAAACTGTATTGAATTGGAGGTGTTCATGGAACAGGCTCAAAGATTTAATAAAGCCCAATCATATTTTTCGCTAACCATAGGCGTGCGCAGCCTATTGCATTAGGGTGTGCACCCTAAAGCACAAACACACGCCGCGTGTGTGTGTGTGTGTGTATATATATATATATATACACGTATATATATATATTCACAGACACACACACTCACAGAAACACACACACACACACACTGACACACACATACTCACAGACACA